CTGCTGTGTGAGAGAGGGCTCTGCCACATTGAGAGAGGCTGGACCGGAGGAGCTGGCAGCCTGCTGTGTGAGAGAGGGCTCTGCCACATTGAGAGAGGCTGGACCGGAGGAGCTGGCGGCCTGCTGTGGCGAGGGCTGCAGAGAGGTCCAGTGGGATGAAAATAGATGACCTACATGCAGCCCTTGCACATCGCAGGGCATCTGTAACAGTCAGGCAGGCCTTCCTCTTCGAGGACAGTTAGGCTAAGTACGGCACACAAATGAGGTGCAGTTGTGTGTATATATATATATATATATATATATATATATATATATAGCTTAGTCTTGCCACTTATCAAATTTAGGTAACTGGGGGTTGAGGGGCTAGAGTCACAGAGTGCTCACCCACAAACTCATACAACATGGGAAAAACACGAAAACTCCACACAGAGGAAAACCTTCATCCCAGGAGGTGTCCAGCAGCACTACCCATCAAGCTAAGTCCAAGCACTTCTGACTGAGGAATCTGCTTGCATTCACGATAAGCCAGCAGTCCTGCTCTTCCCCGCAGGCGGTGGGGGAGCTGCTGATCGACTTGGACATGGACAGGAAGAGCATCGTTGTTGGAGCCAGCAGGGTGAGACACACCGACACCTTGAGTGACTCATTGAACTCTCTGAGAGGCCTGTATGTCTGGCTGACTGGCCGGCTGCTCTCACCTCCCATGCTGAAAATGACGAACTGAGACTGCTCACCCAGTTCGGGAGGCCGACTAGCGCAGCCCTCTCAGATGCTCAGATGGTTGCCAGATTGAGTGATGTAACTGAAGAGCGCCACCTGTCCGCAGGTGTTTATGAAACGTGGAGTGATGCTGTCCCTGGAGCAGCAGAGGGACCAGCTGGTGAGCGGCTGGCTTGTGCTGCTCCAGGCCTCCTGCGTGGGACACCAGGCCAGGCAGAAGTACCGCTGCATGAAGGTGAGTGACTGCTGTGTGGTGCATGATGGGATAGCGGTGGGTGCTGTTGTATTATGAAAGGATGGTACAGTAGGTGTGTGGCCCGGCATAAAGCAAATGTGTGTTTTGGAGCAGGTGCAGCAGATGGCTGTACGCTGTGTGCAGAGGAACGTGAGGGCCTTGTCCACCGTACGCCCCTGGAGCTGGTGGAAGCTCCTCTGCAGGGTGCGCCCCCTGCTGGACATCAACATCGATGATCAGCGGTTCCGTGCTAAAGAGGTACTCGCATCCCCTCCCCCAGGATCCTGTCAGGGGTCTGAAGGAGGTTCTGGGATGGGCCCCCCTGCCCCCCTGCAGAGCAATATCCTGCAGGTCTCGCTATTAATACGAAGCTCAGCTGCAGCCAAGTCAAAGCCAATAATGAAAACTGTGTGTTATGTGTGTGTGTGTGTGTGTGTGTTACGTGTGTGTGTGTGTGTGTGTT